CGGGCCAGGGCCTTGGTTCTTGCTCTGCCTTTCAGGGGAAACTTGGAGGGGGCAGTACCTGGATTCGGTGGCAGGGGCATCCTCGGTTTTCCCACTGTGCACACTGGCTGTGGTCCTGGGCGAGTTGTTGCTGGAGCTCGAGCTGACCCCTCAGACTCTTCCTTTCCTCAGATCATCAAGAAGTTGATTGAGCGTAAACAGGCCCAGATCCGCAAGGTGTACCCTGGGCTCAGCTGCTTCAAGGAGGGAGTGAGGCAAATCCCTGTGGAGAGTGTCCCCGGCATTCGTGAGCAGGGATCTTGGTGGGGAGGGCAGCTTGCCAAAGGAGCAGGAGGGCTCACTGTTTGGGGGTGTGGAAAGGCATTCTTAGTGCTGTTCTCCCCTCTTTGCAGGAGAGACGGGCTGGAAGCCACTGGGGAAGGAGAAGGGGTGAGTGTTGTGTTGAGAGAGTGGGTTGGGGGAGGCAGGGGGACCAGGCATGTTGGACTTGGCATCTCACGCCCCGCAGGAAGGAGCTGAAGGACCCTGACCAGCTCTACACAACCCTCAAAAACCTGCTGGCTCAGATCAAGGTGGGGAGACCAAGTTCCTTTTGGGGGTCCCTGTCCCTGGCTGTGGCATTATGACCCAGTCTGGAGGGGGGTAGCAGACACGGGCTGGACGTGGGGCCTCAGTGGCCCTGGCCCCCATTTGGCTCTCTCTGCAGTCACACCCCAGTGCCTGGCCCTTCATGGAGCCTGTGAAGAAGTCAGAGGCCCCTGACTACTACGAGGTCATCCGCTTCCCCATTGGTGAGCATGCTCCATTCTAACCTCTCCTTCCACCTCCACCCGTAAACCCACTCCCACCTTCACTGGGCCATCCAGCCCCCTGTGGCCCACCCCAGCAGACAGGCCCACCTTCTCCCCTCAGCCTTTTTTTTTTTTTTTTTCCTTATTGTACTTTAGGTGAAGGTTTACAGAATAGTTTCTCATTAAACAGTCAGTACACATTGTTTTATGACATTGGTTAACAACCCCATGACATGTCAACCCTCTCCCTTCTTGATCTTTTTTTTTGGTGAAAATATACATAGCCAAAGATACACCATTTCAAAAATTTGTACATGCACAGTTCAGTCACATGGATTACGTTCTACCAGTTGTGCTGCTATTCTCACTTTAGATGAAGTTTTATGGAACAAAATAGTTTCTCATTAAACAGTACACGTTGCCCTGTGACAATGGTTAACAACCCCACTGCATGTCAACACTGTCCTTAATCAACCTTGGGTTCCCTATCACCAGCTTTCCTGTCCCCTTCTGCCTTCTAGTCCTTGTCCCTGGACTGCTGTGCCTCATTAGTCCCATTTTGTTTTATGGGGGCTGTCCAATCCCCGTCAGCCTCCTTTTTTAATATTTTATTGTATTTTAGGTGAAAGTGTACACTGCAAAACAGGTTTCCATTCAACAGTGTCTGCACATGTTGTTCAGTGACATTGGTTACATTCTTCACATTGTGTCAACATTCTCAGCTATTTCTGTTCTAGTTGTTCCATTCCCATTCACCTAGTCTCACAGCCCCCCAACCTTCTCATCTATGCTTTTGAGTATTTGTTGACCATTTAGTCTCACATAGGTGGTTTTTTAAAAGAGTGTAGTACTCAGGGGTGACATTCATATTCTTTATGAGCTTACCTGCTATTTAGGTGAAAGATGACTAGGGATAGTTTCTGTTCAAGGCTTAAAAATATCTGAGGGCAACAGTCTTAGGAATTCATCCTGACTCAGTGGGTCCAATAAGTCTGCATTTTTTTTAAACTTGAAGTTTTGTTCTACATTTCTCTCCATTTCTATCTGGATCCATGTATTATGGTCCTGATCAGAATGTAAGGTAGTGGTTGCTGGGCACCATCTAGTTCTTCTGGTCTCAGGGTAGAGGAGTCCACGGTTCATGTAGATAGTCCTGTAGACTGGTTCCTTCTCTGAGTCTTGAGTTTCCTTCTTTCTGTTTTGCTCCAGATGAGTAAAGATGAATAGTTGCATATTAGATGGCCACTTGTAAGCCTTAAAGATGCCAGACACTACTCAGTGGACTAGATGTAGAACATAAACTTTATGAACTGCATTATACCAGTTGGCCAAGTTGTCTCACAAGATTATGACCCTAAGTCTTCAAAGCAAGAAAACTTATCCCATGAGGTGATTGGTTATGTCTAAGAAGTATCAGTTTCTGTGATCTTTAGTTACATGTATACATATATACCTACGTATACATATATCTATATATACACATGTGTATACATACACACACATATCTTGGTGGTGGTGGTTGCAAAGTTATATATAACATAGCATTTACCAAAACATCCTTTGTGTGTGTGTGTGTGTGTGTGTGTGTGTACGTGTGTACGTGTGTACAACCTAGTGTTACCTTAGTTAAACTGTGCGCACTTCTCCCACATTCGGTGCTACTTTTCCCATCACCATAAATTAAAAATGACTACTCTCTAGAGAATGAATCCCTCTCTCTACCCCTACTCCCCACTCCTGGTAACCACCAATGAACACTGGCCTCTGTATAGATAGCTGTTCTTGCCGCTTTATAAAAGTGAGATCATACAGTATTTGTCCTTTTGTGATTGACTTATTTCAGTCAGCATAATGTCCTGTAGGTTCATCCATCCATGTTCATGTTTCAGGAATTCATCTTTCTTTATGGCTGAGTAGTATTCCACTGTATGTGTATACCACATTTTGTTTATCCATTCATCTGTTGATGGTCACTTAGGTTGTTTCCGTCATTTGGCTATTGTGAATAGTGCTGCAATGAACATAGGTGTGCATATGTTTGTTCGCGTCTCTTCTATTAGATCTCGAGGATATATACCAAGGAGTAGAATTGCTGGATAATAAGATAACTGTTTTTAATTTTTTGAGGAATTGCCATACTGTTTTCCATAGCTGTTGTAGCACCAGCAGTGGATAAGAAATCTCCCCACGTCCTCGCCAACATTTGTCGTTTTCTGTTTTTTTTTTTAATCATTGCCATTTTAGCTGGAGTGAGACAGTATCTCATTGTAGTTTTGATTTGCAACTCCTTAAATGAGCCCTGGAGCCCTGGTGGTGCAGTGGTTAAGCATTTGACTGCTAACCAAAAGGTCGGCAGTTTGAATCCACCAGCCGCTCCTTGGAAACCCTATGGGGCAGTTCTCCTCTGCCCTGTAGGGTCGCTATGAGTCGGAGTCAACTCTGCGGCAGTGGGTTTTTTTTTGTTTTTTAAAGGAGCCCGGGTCGTGCAGTGGTTAAGTAGGCTCGGCTGCTAACCTAAAGGTTGGCGGTTCGAACCCACTAGCTGCTCTGTGGGAAAAAGATGTAGCAGTCTGCTTCTGCCAGGAAAGACTACAGCCTTAACCCTTTGAGGCAGTTCTCCTCTGTCCTATAGGGTCGCTGTGAGTCAAAATCGACAGCAACGGGTTTGGTTTGTTTTTTTTTTTTAAAAAAAAGGCTAATGACAGCATCTTTTCATGTGAGTGTTGGCTGCTTGAATGTCCTCTTTGGTGAAGTGTCTGTTCATGTCCTTTGCCCATTTTGTAATTGGGTTATTTGTCTTTTTGTTGTTGAGCTGTTGAAGTTTTATATCTATTTTGGAAATTAGACCCTTATCAGATATGTCGCTCTGCAAGATTTTTCCCCAGTCTGTAGGTTGTCTTTTTACTCTTTTGATAAAAGTCCTTTGATGATCATAGGTTCTTCTCAGCCTCTTAAGTTAAAGGTCTGTGCTTGTCTCCTGACCCCCAGACCTGAAAACCATGACGGAGCGGCTCCGCAGCCGCTACTACGTAACCCGGAAGCTCTTTGTGGCGGACCTGCAGCGGGTCATTGCCAACTGCCGCGAGTACAACCCCCCAGACAGCGAGTACTGCCGCTGCGCCAGTGCCCTGGAGAAGTTCTTCTATTTCAAGCTCAAGGAGGGGGGGCTCATTGACAAGTAATCCCTGACTTTGGACCTGGGAATCCCACCCTCGGATTCTGATCTGACCCCTAGGGATCCCCTGGCTCCCTGATTCTCAGCTGGAGGCACTCCAGCAGGGTGCCCACAGCCCTTTCCGGACCAGTAGGCACCCTCAAGTCTGCAGCTCTGTCCCACCCTTCATTGTATCTGACCTTGGGGAGGGTCTCCTGGGCCTGGGGCCCAGCTCCTTTAGTGTGGCTAGTGGGCAGAAGATGTACCCTGCCCAGTCCTGGTGGCCCCAAACCTGGTTCCTCCAGAGCTATGGCATCTCGGAGTCCTGGGCCTGGCCCAAGTTGGCTGTTCCCTTTAGGGCTAGGACTACTGACTCTTGAGTTGGGTGGGCTTCAGAGGTTGGAAGTTCATCCTAGACTGGAGGGGCCATGCCTCACCCTGCACTGTTCCTCTGTCATTCTGTCCCCCAGGGGTGGGGGACATGGGTACTATTCATTCCCTGGCATTAATCCCTTGGAGGGAACAATAAAGCTTTTTTTTTTTTTTTTTTCCCCTGCGTGTGGTTTTCTTCGTGATGGTCCCCAGACTTAGTAGTCTGACCTTGGCTGCTCCAGTACCCTCTCACAGGCTGGAGCCCACTAAGCCTCAGGTTATGCTGGGGTGGCAAGTCTCATGCTCAGTCCTGGGCTCTTGGGGCAGTGGGACCTCCCTGGCTGCAGCCTACCACTTCGCCCTGCTCCAGGCTGCTCCTGACCCTAGTACCTGGGGCAATAGGGGCGGTAGCTCAGCCAGGCTGCCTTAACCTGGAGAGAACGTGGTTACAACTGGCTTTAAAGGGGGGTGGGGGAGGGCGTAGCAGGACCCAGGAGGAATGAAAGTGTGCCACCTTGCGAGCCACATTTCTGTCCGTCCACCCCCCCAACCCCAGCACGGGGTACATTGTTTTTTCCGGGGTCGGGGGCAGGGACCGGAGATTTCTAAGGGGAATTCCTATGCTCAGGCTCCAGCTCCTGCTGGCTCCTCCCCCCGCTGGCTCCTCCTCTCAGTTTTAGTTTCCGTTTCCCAGCTCTGAGGCCAGCCCAGCGGCATCCAGGCTAAGCTGAGCGGAGCTGCCCTTAGCTGGCCTGGTGGTGCAGGTAAGACACGGGCCAGGCAGGGGCAAGTGTAGTCTGTGTTACCCTCTTGGCCAGAGATGCTCCTGGTGGGTGCTGGGAGTGCCCTGCCTTGCCCCCGCAAGCCAAATAGCTCCTTGAGCAAACGGAGGTCTCTTCCCCAGACCGGGCTGCTCACAGGTTGGAGGGCGGGGAAGGGCAGCTTTGAGGGGGCCAGAAGGGCCAGTGGGTCTGAGTCCTTGCCGTACTCAGAATGGAGCTGCGACCTTACCAGTGGGAGGTGATCATGCCGGCCCTGGAGGGCAAGAATATCATCATATGGCTGCCCACGGGCGCTGGGAAGACCCGGGCAGCCGCCTATGTGGCCAAAAGACATCTAGAGACTGTGGACAAAGCCAAGGTGGTTGTATTGGTCAACAGGGTGAGTGACCTGCCCTCCCCTCTGTGGGGCCTCCAGAACATCAGAGCTGCTGCAGCCATCCCTCAGCTCACCTGTCACCCCACTCCAGCCCCTAGCCATGTCTTGGGGCCACCTTGCCTCCTCCCCAAACCTCTGGGCCCCGATCCTGCTTCCTCTCCCCATCTCATTCCCCGCCTCAGGTGCACCTGGTGACCCAGCATCGTGAGGAGTTCAGCCGCATGCTGGATGGACGCTGGGCCATAGCAACCCTGAGTGGGGACATGGGACCAAGGGCTGGCTTCGGCCACCAGGCCCGTAGCCATGACTTGCTCATCTGCACAGCTGAGCTGCTGCAGATGGCACTGACCAGCCCCGAGGAGGAGGAACACGTGGAGCTCAGTGGTGAGGGCTGTGGGCAGGGGGCAAAGGGTGAGCACCTGGGGCAGCCCCGCCTGCCCGACACGAGGGCAACCTTCTTTGTTTTTGTGGAAGGCAGGGTTCCCTATTCACCAGCCCTTAGCGTACACTGTAGTGGAAACAGACTTGGCTTCCCTGCAGGACCTTGGGCAAGTCCCTTCCCCTAGCTGAGCCTCAGTTTATTAATCTGTAAAATGGAGGTAAATCATTCCCCGCCTGGCTCGTTCCCTGAGGCTTGGCTGTGAGTCACAAAGGGAGGAAGGAATTCTCAGATGAGTTGTGGGGGCTACATAAGCAAAGCTTATGAGAGGAAGGGCTTTGTAAACGTAGGTCACACTTTTCCCCATGTGCCCTTCCTCAGACTTCTCCCTGCTTGTGGTGGATGAGTGTCACCACACACACAAAGACACTGTCTACAACATCATCCTGAGCCGGTACCTAGAGCATAAACTCCGGAGAGTGTGGCCCCTGCCCCAGGTGCTAGGTCTCACAGCCTCCCCAGGCACTGGCGGGGCCTCCATGCTCAGTGGAGCCATCGACCACGTCCTGCAGGTCAGCTGGCCCCTTGACCCTCCCCTCACCAGGCCCACCAGGGACCTCCCTGGCCACCCTGCCCCTTGCCCACGCCCACCAGCCCTACCCTGGCGCCCTCTGGCAGGGTTGGTCCCTTCCTCACCCAAGGCCCAGCCTCCAGTGGCTTCTTGTTGCACTTAGAATCAACTCCCAACTCTTTACTCCAGCTTACAGAGCCCCATGTGATCCAGCCCCTGCCTCCCTCTCCAACCTCATTTTCTACTTCCTCCACCTCACTCCTGCTATAGCTGTACTGGCTTTCCTTCTGTATCTTGAACAGATCAGGCTTGTTCTCACCTTTGTACTTGTCATTCCTTTTGCCTGGAACGCCCTTTCCCCTGAACTTGCCTGGCTAGTAACAAGTGAAATGTCAGGGAGCAACTTAAATTTCGCCTCTTCAAAGATGCTCTCTGATCACCTTCTCTGCACTCTATCATATTATCCACTTTTAGTCTCCTCGGAGCTCTCAGCACTGTCTGAAATGCTCTCACTCTGTTCTTTACTGGTTTATCATCTGTCTCCCCAACTCTATGCTAAGTTCCTCTGTGGCCCCAGTGTCTAGAACAGTGCCTGGTACAAAGAGAGCGAGCAATAGATATTTGTTGAATGAATGAATCCCTACCCCCAGTGTCCCTGCCCCCAAGCTTCCCTGTCCTCAGCTGGGACCCATCCTGCCCCAAAGCTCTGCCCATTGTTCCCATCCCCCCCATTCCAGTGAGCCCCTCTCTGTTGTCCCCAGCTCTGTGCTAACCTGGACACGTGGCGCATCATGTCACCCCAGGAACACCAACCCCAGCTGCAAGAGCACATCCGCCAGCCCTGCAAACAGTATGATCTCTGCCAACAGCGCAGCCAGGTGCATGGGGGTGGGAGGTGGGGGTGGGGTCTGGTGTAAAGTTAGTGTGCCTGGGTGGAAGCCTAACTCCACCCTTCACTAGCTATGTGACTTCGGGTGGTTTCCTTATGTCTCTGAGCCTCCACTTCCCGGTTCTGTGAAATGGGTCAGATACAAGCCATGCCAACGGCCTGCCGTTGGGATTGACTCAGAAGCCACTGTGGTGTCTGCCAGGGCCCTGGACACACTGTTGGGTGCTTTGCAAACCATAAAGCAGGGGCACTTTGTCCTGAGGCTGTACCAAGCGCTCCTTCGGTGCGTGCACTGCTGGTGTCTGCTATGACAGGGCTAGGAAACGATGACACCCTACCGTGCCCAGGTCAGAGCAGGGAGGCCCTTTGCCCAAGGGCACGTGGAGACAGCAGGAACACAGGCACTGAACCAGGCCCCTGCCTCCAGCCAGGACTCTCTCACACCCCCATCGGCCTCCCTCCGGAGTTCTCTCTCGCCTCTCAGATTAAGAGACAGCGGCGCCGAGTCACAGGGGGTCAGCATCCCCGCTGGGTGTGTATAGGAATATCCTCGCCCCATCATTCCTTCTGCCCAGGACCCATTTGGGGACTTGCTGAAGAAGCTCATGGACCAAGTCCACGACTACCTGGAGATGCCCGAGTTGAGCCGGGACTTCGGGACGCAGATGTACGAGCAGCAGGTGGTGGAGCTGAGTCGGGAGGGTGAGAAGGGACACCGGGGCGAGGCCGAGGCTGCGGGGGTGACTGGCGAGGCTGCGGGGGCGTCAGGGGCTGGGCCTGCCTCCAAGGGCGGAGTCGTATTGGGCGGGGCCTGCCTGGGCAGGCCTTTAGGGGGTGGGGCTTAGCCGTCCAGGGGCGGAGTCTGGAGGGGCGTGGCTTGTGGGCAGGACCGAGAGCTGTGGGCGCTCAGACCCCGCACCCCTATCCGCAGCGGCTGAGGCCGGGCTCCAGGAGCGGCGAGTGTGTGCAATCCATCTGCGGCGCTACAATGACGCGCTGCTCATCCACGACACAGTCCGCGCCGTGGACGCCCTGGACGCGCTGCAGGACTTCTACGACAGGGAGCGCGCCACTAAGATCCAGGTGCTGCTTGCCGAGCGCTGGCTGCTGGCGCTGTTCGATGGTGAGCCACAGGAAGGTCAGGACTAGACGAGTGGTCAGTGGCCAGCCTGGCACAGGAGCGGGCGAGGGTACTGAGGCTTTGTTTTTCTAATCAAATGTCAAGGTTGTGGATATAACAAAAAAATTTACTTTCCCATTTGTCAAGGTTTACATAGATGTGAAAACTAATTCACATTATTGGCAAAGATTTTTAAAAATCATTTAATTGGAACTGTCCCTGAAAGTCCTTTAGACTGGGAAAATGAGGCGGTTAGAGGGTGAAATTGGAGGCTAGAGTCCTCATCACAGCCTGGGGTCAAGGATCCTTCAGAAGAGACCCAAGATCAAGAGTCAATCCTGGGTGGCAGAGGCCAGGGTGGAAAGGTCAAGGGTCAACCTGTTAGCTAGGTTGAAGGGAGTGCAGGTCTGAGGTATGTGAACAAAGGATTCTATACTGTAGGCCCTGGAGTAGGGCAGACCTTGAGGCAGAACAGAGGGCATCCTTTTGCATGGTCCTGGTGCTCTCTAAGGGAGACCTGGACAGGAGCAGATATCCTCTGTACCCACCCCCTGTACTCCTGCAGCCCTATCCCAGTGAGCCCTCCACTGCCCTGCCCACCCTCAGGCCTGAGTCCTGTGCCTCTGTTTCTGGTTTTCCGGCAGCTCACAAAAATGAGCTGACCCGCCTGGCCACTCACAGCCCAGAGAACCCGAAACTGGAGTTGCTGGAACATATCCTGCAGAAAAAATTTGGGAGCTCCGACAACCCCCGGGGCATCATCTTCACCCGCACCCGCCAGAGTGCCCACTCCCTCCAGCTCTGGCTCCAGCAGCAGCCCAGAATGCAGACAGTGGACATCAGGGCCCAGCTGCTCATCGGGGCGGGGAACAGCAGCCAGGGCATCCATATGACCCAGGTGTGGGTTTGGGGGAAAGGAGCTGGGGTTGGTGGAGTTCCTGGAGGAGAAGGAGGGGACAGGGTCAGCAGTGCAGAGAGATGGGGGCAAGGAGACCCCAGGAGAGAGGGGTGACTGAATGTCCCTAGGGCAGAGGGAGAGAGCTGGGGGAGAGGGCTGAACACTGAGGTCCCCAGTGCTGAAGGTCCCCCCCAGTTTGGGGGTCCTTGGAGAGAAGAAGTGGGTAATGTTTCTCAGAGCAGAGGATCAGGGACCTGGGTCCCTTGAAGAGAATAGGGTCTGGAAGTGCCTAGAGTAGAGGAGCAGGGACTCTTAAGTGTCCCTAAAGGAGATAGGGACTGGATGGTTCTCTGGGAAGATGGTCAAGAGCCTGGGAGTACTTGGGGAGAGGGGTGGGGCTCAGTGTCCCTAGGGAGAGGGGCCAAGATTATGAGTAAAGGAGCTGAACCAGGAGAGACTGGGCTGGCAGGTAGGCCTGAGTCCCCTTCATGTACCTTCTCCCCCATGTCTTCTCCCTGCCCTGCCCCAGAGGGACCAGCAAGAGGTGATCCGGAAGTTCCGAGTTGGTATCCTGAACCTCCTGGTGGCCACGAGTGTGGCTGAGGAGGGTCTGGACATACCCCACTGCAATGTCGTGGTGCGCTACGGGCTCCTGACCAACGAGATCTCCATGGTCCAGGTGCCCACACCCCCTCCTACAGCACTTGAAGGATCTTTCATGGGACCCCAGTCCCACTGAGGCCCCTCCCTTGCCCCCCTCCTCAGGCGAGAGGCCGTGCCCGGGCTGGTCAGAGTGTGTACGCGTTTGTGGCAGCCAAGGGCAGTCGAGAGCTGCGGCGAGAGCTGACCAACGAGGCGCTGGAGGCCCTGATGGAGCAAGCGGTGGCCACTGTGCAGAAGATGGACCAGGCCGAGTACCAGGCCAAGGTCTGTCTGTGGGCAGCCTGCAGGCCCTAGGGAGGTTTGGGGCTGAGGGACAGCTCTCTGGCTGCACATCACACCCCTGCTTCCTCCTTCCTCTTGAGAATAAGCTGGCCTCACCTGGGGAAGGTTTGAATAGAGGGAGGGGGTGAGGCCAGGGGTGGGACAGCCAGAGAAGACAATGGCTGGTCTCCAAGAGGCTTTGGGAACAGGCCTTGTGCAGGGCTTTTAATTTATCCTTGTCACCAGATACTCTGTGTCTGTGAGAGCTGCTTACAGCCGTTTTGGAAACAGGTGAGGGGAAAAAAGCAAAGACACATGTACAGAGTAAGTCTAGAACCAGGACTTACAGCAGTTCCCCCGAGGCAGGGTCACCAGTGTCCAGACTCGCCCAGGATACTCCTTCTTTACTCCTATAGTCGCAGTGTAGTTATTAATGATGCCCCCTTTTGCTCTCAAAAGTGTCCCAGTTTGAGCAAAAAAAATTGTATGTTCACCCTCCCCTGGGTGATCTGTCTGACTCGCGTCAGGTTCAAAGAAGCAACTTCGCATGAAACTCTCCAAAGAGGGGGCATAGATTCATCTGGAAAGCTTATCCCCTCCCACTGCTACCTACCTCCCCCTGCGATCATCTTTTGCTCCAAAAGTGCCAGGGGGCTAAGGAAAGTCCTTTCTGGGTAGAAATGATCTGAGGAAATTTGGGAGCCCGGCAGTTCAAATCCTCTAGACGCTCCTTGGAAACCCTATGGGGCAGTTCTACTCTGTCTTATAGGGTCGCTATGAGCTGCAATTGACTCGACAACAGTTTGGAGGAGTAGGAATTGACTCGATGCCAACGGGTTTGTTTTTTTTTTCGTTTGGAGCCTTGGTGGCGCAGTAGTTAAGAGCTTGGCTGCTAACCAAAAGGTAGGCAGTTCGAATCCACCAGCCACTCCTTGGAAACCCTGTGGGGCAGTTCTACTTTGTCCTATAGAGTCACTATGAGTTGGAATTGACTCAATGGCAATGGATTTTGGTTTTTTGCTTGTCCCTCTGGGGGCATTCCTGAGATTGGGTCTCTTGAGCCCCAGCCATGCCCAGATGTTCCCTCTTGCCCCAGATCCGGGACCTACAGCGGGAAGCCCTGGTCAAGCGGGCAGCCCAAGCAGAGCAGCGGCTGAGCCGGCAGCAGCAGTTCCTGGCAGAGCGTGTGCGGCTCTTCTGCATCAACTGCTCCGTGGCTGTGGGCCACGGGAGTGACCTGCGGAAGGTGGAGGGCGCCCACCATGTCAACGTGAACCCCAACTTCTCGTGAGGCCCGTGGAAGGGGCTGTTGGGATGAAGGGGAGGGAGTGGTGGGATGGGGGACTGAGACTCCCCCCACCTATACAGTTCTTGAGGGTTTGGGAGGTAGAAGAGCATTTTAATAGATCCTGGTTTTGCATTTTCACAACAGCCTAGTTAGACAGGGTTTTATCACTGCCTGTTTTGCAGGTGAGGAAAATGAGGCTCAGAGAGGCTAAGTGACTTGTCCAAGCTCCACAGCCACTATGTGGTTGAGCAAGAGCTAGAATTCAGGACACCAGATGCTGAAGGACTACAAGGGGTACCAGGTATTTTGGTCCTACATACTCTGAGGACCTCAAGAGGGGCTGGCTCTCCTGGAGCCATCCCCCATTCTCTGCTCCCTAGGGGGTAACCATCTCCCCTTCACAAAACCTTTGTTCCCCATTCATTCATTCATTAAATAACTTTATTAGGTACCTACTGTGTGCCAGGCGCTGTGCCAAGGATTTTCACCCAGGTTCTGTCATTTGAGGAGGTAGAATTTCAACTAGGTCTTGGAGGATGGGTTGGGTTTGGATATAAAAAAATGAGAAGATGCGTATAGGCAAGGATGATGAAAAGCAAAAAGACAGGAGTCCTTCCAGTTGACCTGAGTGGAAGGGGTTGTGGATGGTAAGATTCAGAAGGAAGACACATTAGCCTATGGAGGATCTTAAAGATTAAACCTGAAAGTTTAGTCCATTTACATTTTCAGAAGATCACTCTGGCAGTTGGTAGAAGGATAGATTGGGGGCGGGAGTAAGGAGGGAGTAGGGATATCCAGTTGGAGGCTGTTGATATCATGCACGTAGGTAATGCTGAGGCCTGAACTTGGCCAGTAGGGAGTGGGGTGGAGGCAGCACGGGCAGAAATATTGAAGATTGGATTTTCTGGCTCTGGGAAGCCCCTGTGCCTCATGACTCCCAGGAGGCAGGAAGGCCCAAGGCCCAGAAGGAGATTCAGCAAGCAGGAGGGCATGAGATCTGGGGCTGAAGGGTCCATGAGGTCTCCCCCACGTAGCCACCCCCATTCCTCTCCAGGATCTACTATACTGTCTCCCAGAAGCCTGTGGTCATAGACAGAGACTTCAAGGACTGGAGCCCTGGGGGTACCATTAGCTGCAGGAACTGTGGGGAGGTAAGTACTTGGGCTGTGTTTCAGGACCTAGTATCCTCAGCCCTCAGTCTGAGGGAGGAGGCCCAGGCCCTCCCCTCAGGGAGCTCCCAGCGAGATGGGGGAGACAGTCCTGCCCCAGGAGCCCCCAGTCTGAGGGTAATGTCCATCCCCTGTCTCATGAGCCCCCAGTCTGAGGAGGGTGGTTCAGCCCCTGTCTTAGGGCGCTCACTATGTGATGGAAGAGGTAGCTCTCAGTCTGAGATGGGAGACACAGCCCCCCTATTCATGGAACCCCAGGTTGAGGAGAGAATCCCAGTTTGGGGCCAGAAGCCCGGACACTGCCCTCTCTGTCCCACCTCCAGGCCTGGGGTCTGCAAATAATCTACAAGTCAGTGAAGCTACCAGTGCTCCAAGTCCGCAGCATGCTGTTCGAGACCCCGCGTGGGCGGCTCCAGGCCAAGAAGTGGTCCCGCGTGCCTTTCCCTGTGCCTGACTTCAACTACGTGCAGCACTGTGCTCAGAACCTACGGGACCTGTCCCTGTAATGACCATTTTGTCGCTGCAGTGCCTGCCTCAGGCTGCAGGGGGCAGTAGAGTCTGCAGCAGCTGCCATCTTTCGCCTTGAGTCACCAACTTGGGGCTGCATGCTGTCCAGCCACAGAGGAACCCTGGGTGGCCAGGCTGGCTCCGGCACCCTCACTGAGGAAGCAGCTGGAGGGCCACAGCCTGCTTCACACCCACTCTCCTATGCACTGGATGGAGTTGGGGGGAAACTGAGGCAGGGGGCCACCATGCTGTACTAGGAATTATAACAGTTTCCCTTGGCCGCTTGTCAACCCATTTCTGCCATGATCACTTCCATTTATTGAAGCTCCTCATGAATTAAAAATAGACAAATGGAAAAAATGGGATAGCTAATTTATAGTATTTTAAAAACAGCTTCATGGATATAATTGACATCAAATAAACTGACATATTTGAAGTGCAGTTTGATAAATTTTAACATAGGTATGGTCCTCCACAATCAAGATAATGAACATGGCCATCACCATTAACCATTTCCTCATGCCGCTTTGTAATCCCTACCTTCTGCCCCTCCCCATCCACTGATCTGCTTTGTGGTTTTTTTTTTTAATAATAAAGTTTTAACACCCCGCTTTATGGCTATATGTATAACCTTATTTGGAGAGAGCATCAAAAGTCTAAATTGAGGTCATCATGAATGTGAGGCTATTCTGTCCCCTCCACCCCATAATAGGCCCCAATCCCAGTGCCCCCCTCTCATCCTATCCTAATTTCCAGGTTCTTTCCTGGGCTGGGGGTCCAGGATTTGAGGTGTGGGCTCAGGAGCTCAGGTAGGTATGTGAGTAGGGGGAGTTGCAAAGGCCTAAATTTTCTGTTCTCATTTTAACAAGAAAGAAAGAAAAAGAAAGGCAAGATCTAGGTTGATTCTTTAGGGAAAGGGCTATTTCTGTAGTCAGAGAGGCCCAGCAGGCAGGAGTCACCTTCTAGAGGAAGGGAGGGGGCTAGGGCAGAGATTTGAGAGCAGGATGGCAGTCCTTCCTGCCATCTAACCTCCTCCCCTCCTGCTGCATCCTTGGTTTTGCCTCAGGGTGTATGGAAAACAGCACATCCTCCTCTCCCCCAGCATCATCTTCTTTCAATCAGTGTTTTGTCTGAGGCCTAAAATTCCAGCACCAGTCTTTTTGGCCTCCATCCCCGGGAGCTGTGTACCTGTCTTTCTCAGGGCCCTTCTTCCTCCCAATCTCCCAGTGTCCCTTGGCCCTGGCGGCAGGAACAGCCCTTCTCCTCCTGTTCCACCTCCATCTCCCGGGCCCTTGTCTTTCAGTTATTATCCCCCTTGCCAGCAACGTGCCTTTTACAGGTCAATAAAATTAGCGACTGGGAGCAGAGGGAGGGGACAGAGGCCCAGGGGTGCTAAACTCAGTGGCCTTGAATGTGGCTGGACGCACGGAGTCCAGACGCCTGACATTCCAGGGCTAAACAGTGACAGCTGAGGGACCTGAGCGGGCGTTGGGGGCGGAGTGGGGGGCGTGTTGCAGCGAGAGAGGTCGAGGATAATGGCCCCCCCCAGTGGTCTAAGTCTCTACACAGCTGGCTACTGGACACGAACCCTACCTTTGGTGGTGGTGGGGGGGGTCCTATCTCCCACCCACTTTACCAGGCTGGGAGAGCTTTATTGAGAAGGGAGCTCAGATGGAAGGGGGAACTCGGCAAGGAGGGGTTTCTGGTCTTGCTTCTTCCTCTGAGGGGTCTCTATATGGAGCTATTGGCTCCAGGGCACGTGGGCAGGCTTCCTGCAGGAGGGAATTTCATGAGGTCCTCAAGGAGGTGTCTTAACTTTTCAGCCCTCGGAAAAACCATGCACCCGACCCTCCCTAGTGGCCCGGAAGCTTCCTCCTCACTCCCCGCCTGAATCAGCCGGCCCGCCCCACCCAGCGGAGACCCTGGGAGGGGAGGGGCGCCGCTGCCTCCCAGGCCCCGCCCCTGAGCCAGTCCCCGCCCCCCGCCAGTCCCAGGCACTGCGCTCCGGAGCGCGCGAGAGCAGGTGGCCGCGGCGGGCTCCGTCTCTGCCCCGCAGGTAAGTCAGCGACTCGGGCTGGTCCGCGCTGAGGACCTTGAGGGCAGGCGGGAGAGTAAGGCAGCAGCTTCTACCTATTCTGTCCCCTTGTCTTAAAACTGGAGGATCCTTAGGGACAATGAGGACAATCCTATCCTGGCTCTGCACACCGATGCTGGGAAGTTTAGAGGGTCCCGGCTGGCTCTCCTTGATGCAGGAGTTGGCTCCTAGGGGTGGGAAATGACAGAGCCGGACATTAGGGGCGCAGCTAAGGAGAACAGGTTGGGGAAGGTGACTACGAGGTCTCCGGAGTAAGAGGACCTCATTGACTCGGCGTGCCCAGTGCTCATCGTCACTCATCTACAGCATCTTCACTCGCGGTAGAGAGTGATGGGTCAATCAAAAGGCTTCTGTTCTGTGGGCGAATGAGCTAAGAGTGGCAGCATAGCTGAGCTAGGGCCGGGCCTTTCAGGTGAGCCCCTGGGCACCTGCATCATTTCTACCTGCGTACAAGTGTGTGCAGGAGAGGGGGCTGAAGGAGCTGGAGATTGTCCAAATGCCCTGGGAGTCTAGAAAGCCTGGGGACTGCTTAGGTCTTTTCTGTGTCATGGGGGAGGTGATCACGGATGTGTTCACACACTTGTTAGACCTCATAGATGTGGGACACATTTGCACCCTCGGCATTGGAACTTGGCTGTTGGAACGGGGACCTGCTCTTGGGACCTCAAGGAAGACTTCCTGGAAGAAGACGTCCTGAGCTGCCAGCTCAGATGTGATGCTTAGAGTTCTGAGCCACAAAGGAAAGGCAATCTTTGGGCCTTGGGGCTGCATTGGGGTAGAGCAGGGGACCCTGGGTTGTGGGACACAGGGAGGCCAGGATGTTGCCATCTTGATCCAGCTGAGACCCCAAGGCCTTCCAGAGATCATCATAAGCCTTTGGACAGACAGAGGTACATGGGGGGAAGTGTCCATATCTGTCTAGATTCTTCAGCTCATTGTCATCTCCCACTACACACATCAACATTGCCAGGAAGTTCTTTCTCGTATCTGACCTTCATCCCTTCTGCGTCTGTGGCAGCTTTGCTTCTGAGAAGCAATTTGCTGTAGTAGAAAGAGTGTGGGTTTTGGGGCCAGATAGACCTGAGCTCTGTCTCCTTTACCTACTGTGTGACAAGTTACTTAACCTCTTTGAGTTTGCTTCCTCACCTGTGAAATGGGGATAATAATAGAACCCACCTCACAGGGTGGCTGCAAGGATTAAATGAGAATACACACGTAGGGCGCTTAGCACAGTGCCTGGCGCCTGGTGAGGGCTCAACAAGTAGAAGTGTCCCTTCGTGTGTAGGACAGCAAAGCCGATCTGTGGGGGGGGGTGTGTGGAAGTTTTTTTCCAACTTGGCCAGAGAGAGCGATGACCTTCACCCACTGCCCCCAGCCCCTGCCTCCTACTGGTCCCTAGATCTCAGCTGGGCTCAGTGTGTCTGGGCTGTCCAGGGCCCCTCACTTTTCTCTTTTAGTCCCCCTGTTCATCTCACTCTTTGCCTCTGGGATGGGGGGAAAGTTCCCACAGGGCAGGGACCAGTGGCAGCAGGAGCCCACTTGGAACTGTGCCTCAGGGGAACAAGCTCTGGCTTGGAGACCCAGCCTGAAAAAAATGCCCCGTTGTCATCACCTCCCTGCCCTCCCCACCTCCAGAAATCCAGAAGTTGGGATCAAGCCGCACTAAAATTTTCCAGGAAGGTAAATAATACAAGTGGCTGAAAGTCCTGCTTGGGGATTGTCCAAGCTGCCCTCCAATGGAAAGGCAGCTTCAGTCCCAGGCCCGAGCTCTGGAGGCTGCTGGGGAAGGCTGGGCCCAGCACTACTCTTAAACCTGAGCAAGGGTGGTGCCCCAGCCCTGAGTGCTTTCAAGGGCTTTGCTCTGGCCCTCTCTAGCCACTCCTCTCCCTGTGGGCTGAGGAGTTGGCAGGGCCAAAGCAATGAATCTTCCTGGAGCCTACGGGTCCCCTTCAAGACTACACTCCCCATACCTGTGACTCCTGAGGTCCCTGCCCAGGTGGTCACCAGCTTGCCCCAGGCCTGCAGAAGCCTCTTCCCTGGGTCTGTCCTCCTCAGGGCAGATTGTGCCCCTAGTGTGTGCTCCCCTGGCCCTGAGGGATGGCCAGGGGGTGGCGTGTGGCTGGGATGAGGAAGTGTAGGCTGGTTGTCCACACACAGGTAGGTAAGCCCCCTGCAGTGCACAGGGAAGAGGGTGCTGGGCTGGGCCCAGGGGTCACAGGGGAGCTGCCTCTACCCACCCAGCATCGTTCGGGTACAGAGCTCCCAGGAGTCAGAGAAATCTAAATTCAAATCTAAATTTAACCTGGTCTTCCAGGTCATTATGAAGGTGTATTTGTCAAGGTAAGAGATTACAACATATTTTATTTAACAATTTGTTAGCTTCATTTATAACCTTGAAGTATTTAGAGAGATGTGTGTGGGCCTCCATTTGTCTTCTTGCCCTGTTGTTGTTAGGTGTCGTCGAGTCGGTTCTGACTTACAACGACCCTATGTACAACCGGACGCTATGTCCTCTTGCCCTGGGCCCTGCAAATATTAGGGACGGGCCTAGCTGGGCTTATGACTGAGCTGCCATTTGATGAAGTCTCTCCCTGTCCCTCAGGATAGCAGCTCCCCTACAAAACTGGGCTTAGCCCATGCTTGCCTGTGCCAGGAAGGAGTTTCAAAGTGAAGTGAAGACTGTCAGCTGTCGCCAACAAGCAGTACCCCCATGGGCCTCCTGACCTCATTCTCCACCCCAAAATTGGGACAGTTTTTAAAAAAATGTCCTGAGATGCTTGAGAGGGAAGGGATATGAGGAGAGAGGTGGCTTATCTCCTGGGTGTGGCCTGGGTGTGGTCCCTCACTACATCCAAGGAGCAAAACCCTTTGCCATCGGGTGGATTCCAGCTCATAGTGACCCTATAGCAAGGAGGGGGCTAAACAGGGCCGCAGCAGCAGGAAGGATGGAAATTAGGCTGACCCCTGTCTCTCCAGTTGCCCCTCTCGGAGGGAGCAGCCCCTGCAGCCAGGAAGCAGGCTGTGTGTCTGCAGTGTGGACCCTCCCGTGAGTTTGGATCTTGGACTTTGGATGGAGAAGAGTGTGGGCCAGCTGGCCAGGCGGTGGGGATCGGCCCAGGCGGGAATGAGTGGCACATTGGCCTTGACTTAGTTGAGTGCCCTGTGGCACCTGGGCATACCGTCTGTTCAGAAGGGAGAGGCACGCAGACTTTCTGTGGTGTCGGACTCCCTCGTTGATTCTGATTTGGCTGTTTGAGGATTAAACCTGCCGCCTTGGCCTCATGAGTGCTGTGAGGAGCTTGATGGAACTGGAGGCATGTGCACACACACTCTCTCTCTCACACACACAAACACACACAGTTCACACTCCTGAAGGCTGCTTCAAGTGCGGTCTAGGATGGGGTTGCCCTTGCAGACCCACCCTGATAACATAAGCCATTTGCAGACCACTATGTCCTCACCACCATCACGATCTCACTCTCCCTTGTTGGTTGGTGACTTTTCATTCAC